CCGGCTTTGGCATTGAAATTGTTCACTGCAGATGGGACGTTACTTTCAGGAACATGCGTATAACTATCCGTCTCGTGACCCAAATACATCAGACAATTCCTCAAAGCTGTGGCACACACACAGCTGAGAGTCCAAAACCCGTCGGTGTTCTTAGGAGCTCTGAAGACGACCAGCTTTTATTGCGTCTGTTCACTCTTCGTGGAAATTAGAAAATGTTCGCCCACTATTAAAAAGCAGTGGAAAACCCTCTCACCGACAAATCACCGGCCATAGCTATCCGAAGTATTGAAAGGGCATTATTCAAACATATGTATCTTCACTTCATCACCAACAGCTTGCACACTGAACCACCGAGAGGATATCAATCCCACCACAGTACACACAGGCAACTCGTATACCTCACACACAGACAGCTTAAATCAGGCACTGAACTTAGGGCGAGACTTCACAGCCATCTACTTTGACATACCAAAATGCTTTTGACGAGGTCTGGCAAGAGGGACTGTTTATATTTTGGTAAACACGATTTCGCCACGTCTGGCATGCTCCTCCGTCAGCTCAAATCGTATCTCAGCAACAGAGGGCACCAAGTAAAGGGGGGGGGGGGATTTGTCGACGTCAAAATCCAGCAATGCAAAATGCTCGCAAGAATCTATGCTGGGCTCACTCCTTTTCCTCATGCATCGCGAGAGTAAGACGACGTTACGTAAGACCTTACGTAAGACGAGGCATGCTCTTCATTTCTTTGCTGATTGTACTTCTCCATGCTCACGTCCCAGACAACCAATATGAACGTCATTGCAATAAGACCGCGGTAGAAATCAAATTTTCGACTATGGTAAGGAGTGGGCTTCCACAAAAATGCAGACAGAACAAAGCAGCGAATATTCAAGAACATTGCTTAACCAAACTTCCCTAAGCTTCCCACTTAGAGACATCGACAAACATTTGGGGATAACATTTTCTGATGACGTACATTGCTACGACAACGTCAATAAAGTGATAAAAAATGCAAATGGAGCCATCAGCCATATCCATGCCATAGCACATCATACGAGGTTTCTTCCAGTCCAGATTTACACCACATGCGCCCAACTACACTTAGACAACTGCGACACAGTGTGCGACGATGCACCACGGTCACTGACTCACTCAAACTTCAGGCTTAAAAATAGAGCTGCGAGACTCGTGGCAGATGCACATCTTGGAACACCGTCTGGGAAAACTAGACGTTACGTCTGGGTTTTCCAGTCGGCGAGACTCGCTCGACACAAGACGCCACATACACATACATACCTTAGCACTGTTTTTCAAGATAAGAGACACGCGCTCACACCACTCCAATTACATTACACATATCGCCCTCGCCGCACAACATGACAAAGGCATAAGCTTGCGCAACGCAAGCGCCCAATCACAACCATTGAACTGTCCCACCTTATTTCCACATGCCCTCACACATGCCACAGCTTGAGTTCGAAATCAACTGTCTCTGACAACAATCTACACCTCCGTGCAGTAATTCCGCTGCCAAAATACAAACACACTCAGTACAAGAGGCTGGGGATAAAAGCTCCATCACTTAGGCAAAAACTGGGTAACACTATCCACGCCATACTTCTCTTGGGCATGTTCTCCTTGAAAGCTACTATGTATAAGATTTTAACAAATGACCAATTGGGTTTGTGTGGCTTGCTCTTTGAACACTGCATGCACTTTACCTAACTCTCTCTGCTCTGTTGTGTCACTTGCCAACGTATTTTAAAAATCATTTCTGAAACGCTGTCAACGCGATTCCGCTTCACTTCCCTCGCACGACAAACTCAACATACTTTTTAATGTAGCCGATCTGGGTGATGGCATGGCTGTGCGATGGCTTATGGCTCTCAAAACGACTTGCCTTCTAACCCCAGGTCGATTTTGAGATACATGAGACCCACATGGGGCCGCGGGGTCCAGCCAGAGCAGGCCCACATAGGCTTGCGGAGGCCGCAGTCATGGCGGGCCCACATGGGCGTGTTGGCCCCAATCAGAGACTGCCCACATGGACACGCGGGGCCCAAGCCAGAGCAGCGGCACTCAATTTGAAAGCTGAGCCACGCCCGCGGCTACGGTTAGACGACTTTTACGTTTAAATTTCGCACGCGGATAAGTGTCTCGTGTTAATCGAACTCGCCTTTGCACCTGTCTGCAAATGTATTCCCATCATGTGTATTTGCTATGGAAATAAATGTTTTGTTGTTCAGGAGTGATTTGCTTTGGAGTGTACGCTCGGCTTTGGCTTCGGCTTTGCTGTTTTAAGCTGGTTGGTTGGGTTTTGGCTTTTTTCCTGAGCCCGAAACTGCTAATTTCGGCTTCCGCTTCGCGGACAGAAAGTTGGAAGCCATTAGCCTCAAATTCGGCTTGACGGGCTAAGAACAGAACTACTGCCGCCAAAATGACTATACGTAAATCAGCTAGTAGCAAACGTGTGTTTTGAAACGAAATGTGGTCTTCATAATTATGCAGACAATGACGTCTCATAAACGGGCATTTTACAATTTTTTCACGCCACCATTGGGCCGGTTGGTGGTTTCGACATGCCTTGTCTTTAATGTGTCTGCAACTAGCTTGCACCACTACCAGCAAACGTGCCTCATTACACAGGTGTTGGCATCGTAATTATCCGGGTGAAGAAATCCTAAAAGTGAAAAGTCGGTATACTTTTCACATGCCGCTATTTTACTTGTTTATTTTTACATTGCGTTTCTACGATTTCGTTTTTACATTCCGTTTCTATGATGACATCAACTAGCATTGACCAAGTGGCATTCGTAGGGCACAGAATTTAAAATTATGTGACATGCATGCACGTCGGCTGACAGATGATTTTTGCTGTGGCTCTTTTTTATTGTTTTAAAACAGAAGATGTTGGAACTGCAAGCACACCTCATATCAACCAGTCGCAAGACTTTGGTACCTTCTGAAGGCAGATATTAGAATGTCCAACTCATCGTAAATGCATGATGTATGGTTCTGTTTCTACGTTCTTTTTGTTTTGCTTTAGTGACGTCTGCGCAAGATTCATCTCATTTGCTCGGAGTCGGTTTGCGTATTATGACTGCCCAGAAAGCATTCAAATTTGCAATGCACGTACCATCCGTGAGGAAGAATTTGTAATTCGGAGTGTTGGTGAAAGCTTGAATCGGAATAAAATGTCAACACATTTTTTAACGTTAAGATAATGAGTGAAGGGGAACGGGACGAAGGCAACGAAGCTGTGGCCCAAAGACGGAATTGCAACGAAGGAATCTCACGCGATCACTCATATTCGTCATGTTCTTAGTCGAGTTTCCTAATCCTGCAACCTACATTCTTGCAAATCATATAGACCAGGTTAGCTTGGCGTATGTGGCTGACGCGCTCCTAGTGACATATCCTCATCCGTAGCCCTACTTTACTCAGCCCATTCCCAGCCTGCTTTCATGCACCCTTATCTCGCCATGCCTTCTATCTTCATCCACGTCCATGGCATTGCGATAGGTGCATAGACAGCCACCAAAAGATGTGGACACAACGGATTAGTGATATAATGCAATAAAATACAGTGCATGATTACTGTTGCCTATTTTTGTTCCAACTCTGCATCTCGTCTTCTTTTCCAGCCAGTGAAGGTGGTTTAAAACACAAAATGCGTCCGAAGCGCCGCTTAAGCTGGAAAAAATTGTCCCAGTGCGGGGAAAACGGACAATGTATACACCCCACGCCTGCCTTTTGTTGGTTCGCTGGTGCACCCCAAACGAGCTTGGTCTTGCCATTGCCTGAGGCTTGCGCGCAATTCTCATCACAGCTCCGAACTAGCCTTGGCTAACCAAACAATACTCATGCAGGTGGCGCTGGAGATTCACCCAAAAATATATAGGTGGTGTTGCCGCCACAAGGCCCCTCGAACTTACGTTCGAAGCCGAAATTTTCCTCCATTACAAGTTCAGCTCATTCCTTACTTCCTGCCTGCGAACAGAGCATATTTAATATGCTAGAAGAGAAATGCTCGTGACATGGACACGCATTACCCTCTGTTTTAGTAGGTTGGAAAACTTTTCACGGCTCAGAACGAATTGGAGCATGTGGCCCAGGGCAAGCCATTCCTAGTAGGTCTTGTCGCACGCATTACCCGCGAACCACAGGTTCGGCAGTTTGCTCCCCGCACTGTGCACTAACGTATTAAACTGCGTGCGCTATATGACCGAGTATACTAAATTAGTCATGGGAGTAAACCATGTCAATGCTTCGCTGCTCCCTGCGTGGAAACTGACTGCGTGAAATGTGAATATTTAGTTAATTGCACACATGTCGAGGAATACGTTATTCCCCCGACAGCAGGTGCAGACACCCCCTCCCCCCTCCTGACTCCCGAAACACCTACAGGTCCCGCAAGTCCCGTTTTGCAGCGTAAATCCCACCGTTCCAGTCTGCGCCAAATTTGTTCAAGGCGATAGCTACGGCTTCGTCCCGCAGGCCAGACGGTATAGACGGCGCTGGCATCAACGCCCTGGCCGTTAAGTATGACTGGTCTGAGATGAGACATTTGAGCAACGCTCAGCAGCCCTACATGGGTAATGCCCCACTAAGCATTCCAATCTATCATTGCGATCTCCCACACAGCTCGACGTGGAGCACGTCGCAACCCTCGGCAGGGAGCTAGAGTTGAACTCTATGCACCACCCGGCGGACGGCAAGCCCGCCGTCGCTCTATCCGAGCTTGTACCGACCCCTGCGGGCCGATACAAGTGGGGAACGGAGGCACAGTTCCACTACGGCGACGCGCTCCGTTTGACAACACGGGATGCCAAGTTCAGAATTTTGGGACTTGCTACCTCTGAGCACCAATCGCCGCCATACACATCCACAGCCTCGCACTGATTTGCTCGCGCGCCGTACCAGGTATTACGCTGACGCCTGTTGCGTCACCCTCCGTCGCTCCCAGCTCTGGCCCGAAGAGCCCCATGACAAACAGCACGTGGCGACGGTCAGGTATTTATTGACAGTCGCAGGGACACAGATGAGGGAGCAGTGATGGTGGACGGCCGGCCAGCTCACTGGAACGAGACAGAGGACGTGTCAGCACGAGTGTCCGCTCCGCCAGCACAGCACGCGCCCGCCAAAGGGGCGCCGACAGCGGACGGACACGCCGTCCTCAATGTGAAGGACGGCGCGGGGACGTCCGCCGAGCTCAATGTGAAGGCAGACAACGAAAAGCGCTGTCAGACCGACATCATACAGAACAACTAGTTATCAGACGTTAAAACGACTACAGTTTCAGTGACATAAAGAACAGACACTTTATTACAAACGCGCATGGCAGGCAAAGATTCGTATTTAAGCAAGCGCAATTCATGGGAACAACCAAAGCATTCGCAAGCAACATGGTTAAATGCCTTCGACGGGCACCCGTCGCGCAGCTCAAAGCAAGGCCGAGTCGAACATACAGATCAGCGCTGCAAAGAAAAGAGGCACGTCGCTGAAAACGGAGCGTGCACTATGCACACACAGCGTGCCGCCACGGTCAGCGGTATATCGGTGCTAAAACGGGGTTATAAAGAAACGGATCATAACGCTACGAGTTAATCAAAAGCCGCTGGTTATCAACTTAAAAGGGCAGCTTCTGCGACCGCAGCTGCTGGTCCAGTGCTGCCTCCAACGCCTGCGGGTAGGGGCTCTAAGCTACTACGGCGCGACACGGCCGCGAGGCTCGGTGCTACGGCCGGCAACACAGCCGGTCAGGAGGGCGACACACACACAGGAGCGCCGCGTGGGGCATGCATCGACGCCATGCGCCGCAGGCAGACCAGACCAGACCAGACCAGACCTGAGCACAGTGGGCTCCGCCGGACGGACGCAGTGCGCCGCGCCGCTCAGCGCTGCAACAAGACCGGCTGGCGTGACCCGCGAGCGAGCAAGAGAGCGCGCCCGGTCCGCTCACACGTGCCCCGGTCACACTTCCGGGGGCGGGGGATAGAGGACTTCGGGAAAGCAGATCCGGACGGGATCGAGATCCAGATCGATCCCGAGGAGGGAGAGGCCACAGCCAACAGGCGAGAGTATCGCCTGGAGACGGACGCTTGACGGGCGGGAGTGCCCCCGGGGAGAAGGGATACGGTCAACTTCGACAGGCGCCAGCGCCAGGTCACCCGCCACACCCGGAACGGCACTGTTCCTTCCAAACCATAGATCTGTTGATCCATGACTGACGGTCACCGTCCATGGCTCGCTATCCGAATCACGTGACCTCCCCCAAGAAACATTCCGCTCCGCGTCACACGTACCCTGCCCCTGCGAACCGCCCCGAGGCGCTGTTTCTCTGAATGGGAAGTCACGTGGCAGTATGGTTGGTTCTGCATGGGAAGTCACGTAGGCCGTTGCAGCACCAATGCTAACAAGAGAAGTCGGAGAGCGGACGGCGGACAGGGACCACGGGACGCCGAGCGTCACACGGATGTCCTACGTATACGCATGAGAGCGCCCGCACAGTATGGGCACAGGGGCTAGCCCCATACTTGACAACGCCCCATAAGGGAAACAGCAGCACACACACGACACACGCTCATAGAAACCACCCGGGAGTCGGCCCGAAGAAGCCCGACGTTTTCAGCAAAAATGGTCTCTCGTATTTGGATTTTGATAGGAGTCCCTTAAACGCATGTTGCTGTAGTAAATATAACAGAGATACACTGGCCTAGCTGGTTGCATGTTCCGCTCCTTTTTCATATCCCTGGCAATAGATGGGGGTTAATTGAATACCAAATGTGCTCGATTCCGAGAGTTAATCGACAGCTCCTTTCAGCGGAGCGCATTTTTAACTACACAGTCTGCCTCCAATACTTGCCTCCCACAGTTCAGGCAAAAATAACACAACCAGTGGGCTCTCGGAATGAGTCTCACAGAACCAAGCTAGACCGCTGTTGCCCACAGACCAGAGACGCTTCCGGCCGCTGCGGCGCCATATTGCCGCCCAGCGGCCGCCTCGCTGACACCCCCAGCACCTCCCACCCCCTTCAGGTGACTCCCACTCCACTGCCGGGCGTTACCGCAGCGTGCGGCACAGCCCGTAGCATGCTCACCCCACAGATGCAGCCAGCTGGCCGCCACGCGTAAAGCCTCGGTAAAGCAGTTCCGAGGCTTTAGTTACCCACGCCTCCCCGCCGCCGGCCCCACCCATTCCAAGCTGAGCCGTGGCCCACACCCCACACATCCGAAAGCCACAGCATGGCCTGTGGCGCTCCAACGGCCACGTTTCGACGCGTCGTTGGACACTCATCAGCCCATACAAAGGAGCCAACATTTAACACAAAGCGCGCACGCCTGTACAACCACCCAGTCGCGATCGTGTACGGCGGCACCCAGCACTCCCAATACGGCTCGGCCGCGGGCGTGCCCGCCGTCGGCACAAACAGCTGTCATCTCCACCGTCCGGCGACCACCCGGACGCGCGTCCTGCGGCGATGACCTCGGCCGCTCGACGGCCGGTTCACGCCGCTCCCCGCCCCGCCCCGGGGCCGACCCCGGTCAGCTTACCTTCTTGCCGGAGGTCACCTTGGCCTTGGCCGTGCCGCGCACCTTCTTCATGCGGTTCTTGCGCTCCTTGCGCAGTTTCCGGCCGCCGGGCGGCTTGGCCAGGAAGCCTTGCCGCACCTGTGGCGCAGAGCGTCCGCAGCGTCACCACACGAGCATCAACACATGTAAACACAGGTGAACAGACAGACAGTCAGCAGGCAGGTAGTTGAGTAGCATTGATGGCTGACAGCTAGCAGGGATATGGACCTGACCAGCAAGCCAGAACAGGGTGATTTGTGAGGACATCATGATGCTGATGATGGACACACAGGGTGGCGGACCAGGGTGGTCTCCCTGCGCTTCAGTCACATGCTTCCATGCCCAATACCAAGCCACCCACACAAGTGTCTTTCCAGACTGGTGAATGTTACACTACCTTGATATATTGTCACTGTTTACTGGTGTTTAAACATCTTGACTACAATGGTCATGTTGCAACCTGATATCTTATACCGGTGCTATGACACTGGGTGGGGGTGGGGG